GGTTAATAATGGTTAATGATGGTTAATAATGGTTAATAATGGTTAATAATGGTTAATGATGGTTAATAATGGTTAATAATGGTTAATGATGGTTAATGATGGTTAATAATGGTTAATACTGATTAATAATGGTTAATAATGGTTAATAATGGTTAATAATGGTTAATATTGGTTAATAATGGTTAATAATGGTTAATAATGTTTAATGATGGTTAATAATGGTTAATAATGGTTAATAATGGTTAATAAATGTTAATAATGGTGGTTAATAATGGTTAATAGTGATTAATAATGGTTAATAATGGTTAATGATGGTTAATAATGGTTAATACTGATTAATAATGGTTAATAATGGTTAATAATGGTTAATAATGGTTAATAATGATGGTTAATAATGGATAATCATGATGGTTTTTAATGGTTAATAATGATGGTTATTAATGGTTGGAACACTATTACCCAACGATCATCCAACCGCAACAAAAAACTCAAGTGCCAAGAGTCAGACTGGTTGGTGGTTGAGCCCTACCTCTCTGAAAAATATGATATCGTCAAATGGGCTCAATATATGGAAAATATGGAAAAATATATGGGATTATTGTTCCCAACTGAATGGATGTTTTTTTAAAAGGTTCCAATCCACCAACCAGCAGATGTTTTACATTGGTTTACTTGCCGTAACTCATGGAAAATCTCATTCGTGTCAACAAAACGCCATGCCAATTCCGTACAGAAACTATTGGCCCTCATGAATGCAGGCGCCCAAGCGCGGCTGCGGCCATACGCCTTTGACCATTTCCTTGGTGGCAGACCGCTCCCAAACGCGGACGTGGAGATGAAACCCATTTCTGTTGTGTCCGAAAAAAAATTGGCCGCTGTATGCATGTGTGGTGTAAGTGGCCAAAAATTTTAAGGAACATTAACAAATGTTGCTGAATGATCATACCCTCTGGTAACCTAAGATAGTTATGGAAAATGGCCCAGTTATAGTTGATTTACTTATTAGAAGTTGCAATTTTCAACATTTATGTTAGTTTACCAGAGGGTAATTCGCAAACCTGAAATAATAGGATTTTCAGGCAATTCCCTTGCTCTCAATAGTTCATCAATCGGCACCTCACATCCAGAGATCATGCTGGTGCTACCCTGTTGTTAAAATGGTATAAATGGCCATTGTGGCTATAGTTCATAGGCAAATCATCTACTTTCAAGGGTCATTAGATGTATTTTTACTTGGCAATGCTACATTGACATTTTTATTGCGAGTCAGGACAGCCACCGGACACAGGTTTGTCCAAAATTAGGGTGCCCAAAAACAATCACATGGTTACCCTAGGAACATGATGTACATGCCGAGTTGTCCACATCTTTTCGCGTGCTTACAGGAGGCAACATGTTTTTTTTGAAACGCCCCAGGTAAAAGGGGCGTAAATGATTTAATCAAATATAGAGGTCAGATTAGACTGATCTACCCCCATTTGCGACTATCATTTAGATTCATTTATCCTATGAATTATAATTGGAGCAACCCTCCCCGAGTTTTGGGAAAGTGCGAAGCACAAGTTTCTTCCAGTACTTTTTGGTATTGAAGTCGCCCGTGCCGATGATGTCCACGTTGTTGGTGGTGATCAGATTCTCCGCGGTACCTAAAAAACCAAGACATTGCCAACGGAAATCGGCAACAAAATACGTTCTTTTCCAAAGACTTTCTCAAGTTGGCCTTTACCAGAACCCTGGTTTACACACATGCTTTGGTTTAAACTAAAACCGTGGTTTGAACAAAACCAATGTTTTTGCGTCAAAACCGTCTTTTACACAAAGAGCTGTTTTACACAAAAACCATGTTATCCACAAACACCATGTTTTACTGCACACAAAAACCATGTTCTTACTGGGCCTGTGCTGCGCCTTACAGGATAGCTCTTTCCATGGTGGCCGGCGGAACACGCCGCAGGCGTTTTTTCATACCATTTTTTGGGTCTCTGTTCTGTTCCAACAAGCAACTAATTCATCAATGAATCGTGCTGATTCAATGTTCATCCATATCTCTAGTTGATGGCAACATTGACACTTCACCGTGCCGCAGTAACATACAGTCGCGGCCCCCTTGGGGACTGAAGGCTTGGCAGAAGTTCAGTGGGTCAGGACGGTAGCCCGGAAGACGCACGGAAACACAACTCGAGATGCTACAAGAAATCACCGTTGTCTGGTTATAAGTTTACCATCTTCCCTGTGACCCCCGTGACGCCTGAAAGATACATATCATATCATATCATATCATATCATATCATATATCATTACCATTTAGGTTGGGCAGGGCTTTGGGGGGGGTGTCCTGCTTGTTAATGGGGTGGTAGCCATGGGAGTGCGTGTGTTACCACGTTCCCAGTTGTATGTTGCTGCTGATGATGATGATGATGATGATGATGATGATGATGATGATGATGACGGTGATGATGACGACGATGATGATCCTTCCCGGTCCCGGCAAACGATGGCGTTTGACTGTGAGAACAGTATCTATGTTGCATATGTTTGCCTCTTGTTAAACCCTGAGAAATGGGGCAGGGCCGGCATGGTTTATTTTACAACCGCCAAACGGCAAGTCACTGGGTGTGGTTGTCAGTTTCGAGTTTACCACACTACGATACCACACAAGCAACTTCAAATGGAAAGGTATGGTGAGATCACGAAAATTGGCAGGGCAAATAACTGAAGAAAGTCAGCTATGGAGATACTGGACCAAGGCGGTAAAATGGATTGCTGAAGGTTACTGTCACCTGTATGGCCATGGTCAAAACGACCACTCATTACCCCCCAGGCAAGACGTAGATAGTTAAAAGGAAAGAACCAGCTTCTTGGGGGTGCAGATTACATGTATGTCTATATGTATACTTATGTATATATATATATATTCATTTTCAATATAGCCACTTTGGGGTAAATCAGAACATCTTCCAAAGTGTCCTCCAAATTCGGAAAATAAAACCGTTTGATAAGGGTTGATCTTAGTTGATCTTGAATACCATTTCAGAGCTGCAGCAAGAGACCACTGTTTTGATCGCTGTGATGCTTGCGTAAAACAAGGCCTGTAATAGCCAGCATGTCTATGTCACCTGTTTCCAGCGCCATCTCCTTACGATAGCCATCGATAGCCTATGTTCAGGGCTTAGTGATTTCAACCCTGCGTGGGAACCACGGCAGAAGATTGAAAATATTTCGAAGCACCAACCACTGGTTCAGTCATTCGTTAAACTGTTCTTCTTGTGGATAACATGTGACAATATATGATAATATTCATAACATTACATAATAAGCATCTCCATACCTTCTGGTAACTTAACACTCTGCTATGGTATACATGGCCCATTTATTTTGATGATGAAATGAATCCCAATAAAAATGCCGATGTTCCATTGCAAACTGTACAGTAGCAAATTGCCGGAGGGTATGGTTAGAGGGTCCTCCTCATATCCCCATTATACTACCAGTACGGCTTTTCTTGGTCAAGTCACTAGCTTTCCTTGGTTACATCCCATTTTTTTGTTGGTTAAATCACATTTTCTATTGGTTAAATCACTATTTCTCATCATTGTTTCATTGTCAAATCACTTTTTTTTCTATGTTACACTCTGGTAAACGTTTACATAGCGAACTGGAAAATCACCGTCTTTGGTAAATCAACGAACTAAATGTGTGTTTTTTAAATAATTAGCCGATTTTCAATATGTTCATGAACTTACGGTGTTAGCCGATTTTCAATATGTTCATGAACTTACGGTGTAAATCATGCAAAAAATCCCAGTTTCTTCCATCCCAAGCATGAATTTCCTCCAAGTCTCTGGCGAATTTGAAGTGCACCTCCGGCGCAGGTCCAAATTCGATGGAGCTCTGGCGGTGCGAGCGACGGGTTTCCGGTGATGTCTTCGAAACCAATCCATTGGAGTTGGGCACTTTTCAGACATTTTGCCTTTTTTTCAAGCTATGATTGGATGGAAAAAATCCGAATCACCTGGTGATATTCACATCCCATTATAGAGTTTCAACCATCCAAGGTGCAGGATTTCGCAACCATCCACAGTATGATTGGAACATTAATGGAAACGAATAGCGAATGAATGGACTATTTTCATGGACTATTAATGGAAATGTTCATTGGAATCGGAAATATCACCAAGAAATTTGTGTCACTCCCCAGTTACAGGGAAAATGGTGATTCAATCACCAATTTGGGGGCACCCTATTTTCAGACACCCATATAACAGGCATAATACTGTAGGTATACTGTAATGCGATATAATAAGAAATATCACCCAATCTGTCAATATGCACAAATTTGTCTGGGCTTGGAACATGAGGATGGATAGAAAAAAACATGAATAAACAGTAACAATGAATCAATGAGATTCGTTTTAGCCACTTTAGCCACTTTACAGGTGGTGCTTGAAACACTTGGTCGGGTCACCTGTTTTTCCAGGGTGTTTCTTCCGACACAAATCGCTGGTGATCAGAAATCACTCGATCCTGGCTGTTCCATTTTTTTTCATAGGCTTTTTTGTTGATTCCCATCCACTTTCAAAGAGGTAGATACATGGTAAACACTAGCCTCTGGTAAACTAACAGTTTGCGAACTTGAAAATGGCCCAGTCGAAATAGTGGATTTACCCAATTTACCCATTAAAAATGGTGGATCTTTCCATAGTTATTTGTATGTTTACCAGAGGGTACTTGAAATCTGAAATGGCAAACACGACTGCCATTCCAATCAGCGAAAATTGATTGCACATATGCGAGGAGGTGCTTGATCTTGTTGGGTAAGGGTGAGGAAGGATGTGTCTCACATCCTCGAGTGAGAACCCCCATCTGAAATACCTCCCCATGACGTCCCCAAAATGAATAGACTCCCATTCCTTGGGGTGGATTTTGATATATTTTACCCTCTGGTAAATTAACATAGACCCTGAAAATAGCCTAGTTTTAATGGACACTAATCTTCCAACCCCTATCTGACAGGGTCTATGTTAATTTACCAGAGGGTAGTCATTGCCAATCTTAGATACGCAAAAATATGAAATTCTCCAGTTGACCTAGTCATGTGAAGGAGGAAAGATGGGAAAGGGACAAAATATGATGAATAAACGAATTCAGAATTACATGAACAATTCATCTCTTCTACCCAGGCCGATTTAAACAACATCATTCTTATCCCAGGCATTGATACTTCGGCGAGTATAAATGATTTTTGAATGGTTGAATAGATGGGGATGGGTCCAAGTTTCAGCCCTTTTTTGGAGCACAGATTTTAGTATATGTTTAGCATAAACCCATCATAAACCCATCATAAACCCATCATAAACCATCTATATAAGTCTTGGGATTACCCAACGGCTTGACCCCAAAAGCCAGATATCAGGTGGTGATGGTGGGAGCAATCACTGTGGATCTGCCATAAACCATGACTGGGGATGGTTTATAGTTAGTTATAGTTTAGAAATGTTTAGAGTCCCATCAAATTGGTAATGACTTGGGGATGGTTTATGGCTTTACCACATCCAGAATGGATTGATGACATTGATGACCCCCAACATGACTGAATAAAATCATGTATAATCCATCTTTTGACAATGGCACATTTGATACATTATTATGATTATTCCATATTCTGACATCATATACAATCAAAGCCCCATGAGTTTTTTGGCCGTGTCCCCAGTAAAAAAACATGTATTTTTGACGTGGTCCACTTCATTTGATGACCATGAATTGGGGTATACCATGGTATATCCCAATTTCTGGACAAGCCGATTGCATAACATATCACCACAATTGGTAATCAAAATCAAGTCATCCAGTCGTTAGACCATGATTTCGTAACCCCATGGTGACTTGAAAAACCCTAACCATCTTAAGAAACCCCAAATGGTGGTATAACCTTATAACCAACTTTTATTATCTTTTATTTAAGATAGCTAAGCTGTATAACCGACAAATATTGGGATTTATGGTGATTTAAGACAGCTAAGTTGGTGCCAATATAGTTCCAATCTCGTTACCCTCCAGTAATCAAACGTGGCAACGGACAATCCGCCAGTTTATAGATGAATTTCTCATTCAAATTGCCATTTCGAGGGGATTTCCCATTGCCCCGTTTGATCACCGGAGGCTATTTCACCATGACAACTTCATGACATGGGTATAGGACAAACATTGGTATCCAAATCATTATGTTAGATGGTTAATTTGTGTACCATCCATACAATTGGGTACCCAACTAGCCTTAGATGATTTGTTTATATAATGTTTTTTCCTAAACATATAAACATAGACTAAGGTTTATGTTTTTTTGTTCCTAAACATAGACGACTCAACATGACTGTGGTCCCTACTGTGCGTTGCGAAATCTATGTCTATAATGGGATGTTTAACAACTGGGGCAGGATTTCGCAACCACATTACTAACATCTACAGTACTAAGCATGTGAAAAATCACCATCAATCACTATTAATCACCATCTATCTGGGTAAATTGTACTATTTCACTAACCTGAATCTTGCAGCCATTTGGGGATGATTTCCCTTATTAACCATGATTCTAGTGAGCTCGGGAGAACAGTGAGGTCGTTATAATTTACCCCAGATACATACTTTTCCCATGAAAATCCCATTAAATTCACATTAAATTCACATTACATTCCATGAAATCCCATTAAATCACCATAAACCCACTAAATCACCATTAAATCACCATAGAATCACCATTAAATCACCATTAAATCACCATTAAATCACCATAAACCCACTAAATCACCATAGAATCACCATTAAATCACAATTAAATCACCATTAAATCACCATAAACCCACTAAATCACCATTAAATCACCATAGAATCACCATTAAATCACCATTAAATCACCATAAACCCACTAAATCACCATTAAATCACCATAAACCCACTAAATCATCATTAAATCACCATTAAATCACCATAAACCCACTAAATCACCATTAAATCACCATTAAATCACCATAAACCCACTAAATCACCATAGAATCACCATTAAATCACCATTAAATCACCATTAAATCACCATAAACCCACTAAATCACCATTAAATCACCATAAACCCACTAAATCACCATTAAATCACCATAAACCCACTAAATCACCATTAAATCACCGTAAACCCACTAAATCACCATTAAATCACCATTAAATCACCATTAAATCACCATTAAATCACCATAAACCCACTAAATCACCATAGAATCACCATTAAATCACCATTAAATCACCATTAAATCACCATAAACCCACTAAATCACCATTAAATCACCATAGAATCACCATTAAATCACCATAGATATCCCCCAGTCAGACGGAACGGCACCGTTTGCAGCTTCACCGCATCAATCCCATCGAGGTTGTGAAAGGCAATGCTCTTGGCGTCGTACTCCTGGGGAGATTTTTCACGCAACGGCCATCGGTTTGTATTATAAACATATGATATGTCATTATCTTATATATATATAATATATACAAGATATATGTATATATATTATTATTATACATCATGTTGTGTGTATAGTATCAATAGATACTTTTTGGTCGTCGATATCTGCTTAAATGAGGTTTTCATGACCGGAGATCGAACTCAGCATTCACATGTGGTGGAAGGTGGTGGATCCTCAATATTTCTCCCCGAAATTCATGTAGTAGGGGATGGTGCCCCCCAAGTGATGTGAACGTTGGTTTATGTTGGTTTAGATTCACCCCATGAATACTAGTTCGTTATATCTGCCATAAACCAGTTCGTGAAATGGGAGTTATGAACGCACCAACTGAGCGATTCCGAACTGGGGCACCACCCAACGTAGGGGAAGGCATTCAATTGACAAAATGGGCTCGCCTTGAAAATGTCGCTGCATGATTTTGAAAATGCTGTCCCATGACACCGTGTCATAGTCATGTATTGCAACTACTTCAAGGACCTGTCGAAACTGGAAGAATCATCCACCCAACATCTCCATTGCTCATAGAATCATAGAAGGTAAGCAAAGTTTCAAAGCTGAACACATTGTTCAATGGCAAGTACTGTAAGCAGTGTTTTTTTTTGAAGGTCAAACAACGTGTATGTGGCTCAACTTCCAATTTTTCTGTCATACTACACAGATTGCTCATATCAAAGATGCTGCAAATACCATCCAAAAATAAGCATCAACGCATCAACATACTCTCCGTATTTTTTTTTACCATGACCTTCCGGCCAAACGACCACCTATCCCAACCCTTGGGCCGCCCCCATTCGCACCTTGTGATTTGGCATCGAATCGTCCAACATCTTGTTCGCGTTGTAGGCTTGTCCATCAGTCCACCTTTCCCACCACGTGCCAAAGGGGGATGTAAACCCGTCGGCCAAGAATGGTTGGTTGGTGGTTTCAAGCCAAATATGTATATATATAATGTATAATATAATATAAAATAACATAATATAATATGACATCATACAATATAATATAATACAATACAATATAACATGATATAATACAATATAATATAATACAATACAATAGAATAAAATATAATAGAATAGAATAGAATATAGTATAATATAATATAAGATAATATAATATACAGTAATATAATAAGATAACATAGTATAATATATGTTAACATCAACCAATCAAATATGTATAATTAACATCAACCAAATGGTAAATATGGATTGCAACCAATAAACGTGACGTATGACTCATGACCAACAATGTGCAGCATGTGGTCAAGTGGCCAATGACCAATCATATGTGAAGATCGTGGAGTGATTTCACTGGCTGCACACGACAACCCCTAAGATTTTGGGTATTCGTTCACAAGATCCATGCCAAATCACACTTGGTTTGCTGCGGATTGGATTGCACAATATACCCTCTGGTAAACATACAAAAAACTATTGAAAATGGCCATAGAAATAGTGAGTTTTCCCATTAAAAATGGTGATCTTTCCATAGTTATGTACCATTTTTAATGGGAAAATCCACTATAAATGGCCATTTTCAATAGCTTTTTGTATGTTTACCAGGCCGGGTAAACATAAATCAATGTGCAACTCGCCCATTCCGCGACTGCATTCCCTTGATTTCAGACTCAGCGGACGGCATGGGTTTTATCTCTAACTCCCAATGAACTAAGAATTTAGCGATATCGATATTTGGACAACTGCCACAACTTGATTAAATGATATTAAATGATATTAAATGTATAAAGAGTCACAATTCTATATCATTTATGATCATTTATATTTCTATCACCAATGTTTGATAGGTGCTAAACATTCCATTTTAGGCTTTCAACCATCCCTTAAATTGCTGGTAAACATGTCGGATTTCGCTGGCAAAATCCACCGTATCACCAATGGCTCCAGCCTAGAGCTGCCGTGACAGAACTGGTTCCTTGGACGCGGATCTGTCCGAGACGTCAGAGATCCGTGCCAGATTGTGGGCCACCAACAAGGTCAACCATTAAAAAACTAAAAAAAAAAAACTTAACATAACTTCAGGATCACTGTTTTGTTGGGACCTGACATCACCTTTTTTTTTAGTTGGCAGAATCGCCATATTCTGCCGGTTGGATCTTCGCGAAAAATGGATGAGTTGCCTCGCCCCATTGGAAACCTCGGGCGTTGAGCCCGGAGCCCGGAAGGATCCTTCCAGAGGAACGCTTCACCATTGTTGGCGATGCACTGTCAGGAGAAAATTGAGCATTTCATTCCATGTGTTGTTTTTGTTTACATAAAATAATATATATATATACATACTATATATATACCATATATATATATACTATATATATACATACTATATATATACCATATATATATATACTATATATATATACTATATATATATACATACTATATATATATACTATATATATACTATATATATACTATATATATATATACATACTATATATATACTATATATATATACTATATATATACTATATATATATACTATATATATATACTATATATATACTATATATATACTATATATATATATACTATATATATACTATATATATATACTATATATATATACTATATATATACTATATATATACTATATATATATACACTATATATATACTATAAAATTGGCCCGAGGCACTTGCTCAGCTTCATGAGCAGCACCCACTTTTGCCCTCCTTCCTTCTTCACCAGCACCTTGCCAATGCCAGGGATCTCTTCCACACCTCGGCTTGACCATGATCGGCAACTTAAGACATCCTAAGGATTCCTAAGGTGTAACAGAATTCATGCGGGGATTGTTTCGGGTGTTTGTTTTCCAAAGTAAGTAGACTAATTAATCCCCAGAAAAAATCGTCAAAAATCATGTCCCGACCTGCAGTGCCTGCATCCTGAATGAAAATTTGTGGAAAACACGACTGGCGAAAATCAGAATCAGATGCCAAAGTCTCTTGATTTCTTTACAAAATCCTGGGAACGCAAAAATTCGCCATCCTGAAATAGTATGAAATGATCCTATTTCGGCATTAGACTGAGCTGTTGGTAGTACATCATTGCATTGAACCAAGAAATTGAGGCGTGTTTTGCTGGAATCGTCCTAAGGGAATTTGCAGGATACCCCTTTTTCCAAGGGAAAAAAGTCATGGTTTCCTTTTTGTGTTTGTTCCTTTCAAATCATCCCACTGATCAAAACAGCAAGCAGTGACCCCGGTGAAGCCCGTAAAAAGGAGGGCTTACCAAACACTGAGGCCGTAAAAAACCGCATCGATTCTGCGGTTGATTTCCAATCGAGATTTCAACATTGTTCTAAGCCATGTTCTGTCCTCCAAAAGCATTCCATCCGGTTCAGCTGGCATACTATTTATATCAGTGATATGTTCATTGGTGAAGGCTTTGAATCTACAAAGAAAAACATCGTTTGAATTCATGAGCGGATTTCTACCTTCCTCTGGATGGCAACTGCAAGTTTCTTTTTGTTTTTGAAGCAGCAACTAGCTGGGGTGGGCGACAAAACCCTCAACCATATACCGAATCTCAAGCGACTGTCTCCTCTGGCAAAATCGCATGTGGCCACGTTTGACCTGTGTAGTTGACAATTGAACATCTAGTGTACAGAGTAAAACCATGTAAAACCAATACCCTTTGGCAATCAAACATGGCAATGGAAAATCCCTTCTAGATGATAAACGGAGGTTTACAGCGGGAAAGGTCATTGAACTAAATGAATATCAATGGGGGGATTGTCCATTGCCATGTTTGTCTGCCAGTTTTAAGACCCCTGTCAGTCCATCCCGAGCCATGCTGATTGATGCTTCCAACATGTTCCAACCCATCCCCAAAACAATATACAGTTTTTGCTAAGGTAATCGTTGAAAATAGGGGTTGAAAATAAACAAATCTTGCGCCATCAACCAGTTGTAGTACCATCTTTTGTTGGCAAAAATTCTGACTTTAAATGGCAACAAATTTTCAAGTTGTGATTTCCCCATATTCCGATTGATTTCTTGTACAGTGTTTCATGTTCAGATCCATAATCATTTGCATCCATCTATTTAAGGATGTGAATGCTCAGATCCACCTAGATATTTGGATAATTTTAGATCCATGTGTTTAGGGATGGACAAACGGATAAAACAACTACAGTCATTTTATTTGGGGACTGGGTTTGACCATTCTATCAGGCCACACCGGGGATTACATTAAAACTCATTCCAAGCAGCTGGTCGACTTGAGGGTGTGGTGGATGGTATCATTCATCGCCATGGTCTCAGCGGCCAACTTCATGTCCTGAACCCCCCGCGAGGGTATGGGGTAGGTGTCTGTGTAAATGCAGGATTAACCCCCAAGAAAAGTCGATGGTTGATAGGGAATTTGATGATCAACCATGGGATTTTGATGGATTTTGGGGATAAAAACATGTTCTCTTCGGAACTTTGATGGAACTACCTATGCGAGTTTTATGGATTTTGGGGATACCCGATGTGTCAGGCCTCGGGAGTGCCACTTGGGAAAGAATCAACGGATTTTGTGAAACATTGGATTTTTGAAGTACCCATAGGTGCCTTGTGTTTGGGCAAAACGATTTTTAGGAGACCCGATTCATCTGATCGGAATTGGAAAATCTGAACGAAAACAACAAAACTTAATAATATATACATATATATAAATAACTGATTTACAGTGCATGGTTTACCTACTACACATATTTAAACATATTCGTTGCAATCCCTACGTTTGCCCGCGTTCTATACAAAACAATGTTTAAATTTACTGCAGAACACCTTCTTCACGCCCAGCTTTCGGGAGCAACAAACCCTGAATCTTAATTTGTTTGCGCCAAGTGCGCACCAACGCAGGTTGGTCTCATGGGTTGGGGCAATGGTTCGGTCATTTCTGGCTGGGCGCTGTTTAAAGTGAAGAGCGTGGAGTGTAAAGTGTAGAGTGTGGAGTGTGGAGTGTGAAGTGTAGAGTGTGGAGTGTAAAGTGTGGAGTGTGGAGTGTAAAGTGAAGAGTGCTTGGGACCCGCTTTTGGGTTAGGTGACTTAGCAAAAGTTAGCTTTCACTTAGGTCACTTAGCTTTGAGGTTAGAGAAGATGCCTGGCTAAGTGCTAGCTAAGTGGCCGCTAAGTGAAGCTAAGTTTTTTTTGTACGTTTTTTGTATTTTATTATGTTATCATTTTTTTGATGAAAAATAATAGTTTTTACGTCAATTTAATTTGTTGAAATTTGATTTTTTTCTCGCGTGGCATGTAATTGGTCAAGAGTTAGCGCAGGAGCCAGACATGGTCATGCGCTTTTCGCATGAGGTGCAATGGCTCGTGGCCTTTCAGTTTGCGTGCTGGCAAGACGTACTTGCCATGTTGCACATCACGGTGCCATTGTTGGCATGTGGGAGAATGGCGTCCCTCGAAGTTTCGCCCATGTAGACGTCCTTCCTCGTGGGAATACTCCAAGCCACAGCTGCCGCACTTCGCCTTTGCCTCTTGGGCCTTGCGACAGGACACGGGGACAACAGCACAGACACCGGTCAGAAGACGAAAGCCTTGAGGATACAAACCTTCAGAAGGCCGTCAAAGATTTTTTTCTCCAAATTTGCAACTTTCCACTAAAATCCCGCACTCATGGACCTTTTTTTGGAATTTGAAGGTTGAAACTCCCGCACTCAACCGCACTCATGACCGCCCTATGTTTGAGAGGGGTTATGCCTTGCCGCACTCAACCGCACTCACGAAAACCTCCTCACACCTCACCTCTTCCTGTCCGCACTCATGCCCCGCACTCAGGCCAGAAGTGATAGATTTTTTCCCGCACTCATCCGCACTCAACCGCACTCAACCCGCACTCATGGCGAATTTCACAAAAAAATTATCCTACCAGGAGACAGCGCATCTCCGCGTAGGAACCTCTTTGGATCCTCTCGACGATCCTTCGGCTAGCCCGCATAGGCTTTGGCGCTCTTGGCGCCAACGCTGCCAGAGCTTTCGTAAAAGGCACGCAGCTCTGCGGCACCAGAGGAATTCCCTCCGCAGATTCTGCCGCGTGGAGAGATGCCAGGCCAACGTGGAAAGCGTCTTACGCGCCTTCACATATTGTTGGCCAAAGAAGTCAGACTGCAGGAGATGGCTCCACTGCTCTCGACTTTGCTGTGGCACCGTATCTCAGAGAAACTTGACAAGGCCACAACTCCACGCAGGAATTTTTGGGCCGCTTCGATCTGCTTCGGACGCGACGCCATTTCCTATGCAACGCAAAGAGACAAAAGCTGCGAAACATAGGTTTTTTTCTTCCATTTTCATTTCTTTAAAATAAAAAGTTGTTTTTTCAAAAAAAGCTAAGTCGCCTCTAAGTTAGCGCTAACTTTCGTGCTTTCATACATCTTAACTTAGCTTCCACTTATAAACGAAGCCAACTTACTTATAAACCATCAAAAAAGTGATGCCACTTAGCAGCCACTTAGCAACTTAAGTAACCACTTAGCAGCCACATAAGCCACGTACAAAAAGCTTAGCCAGAACTTATAAATGCTCTATCTGAGCGAGGGTCCCAAGTGTGGAGTGTGGAGTGAGGAGTGTAAAGTGTAGAGTGTGGAATCTGAAGTGTAAAGTGTGGGGCGGCGTCCGAATCGGTCACCAGGATCGGTCACCAGGATATCCGAATCGGGAACTAAGAATCGGACACCAGTATATCTGAATCGGTCACCGGATTGTCAGGATCGGACACCAGGATAGTAGAATCGGTCACCAGAATCGGACACCGAGAATCGGACACCGAGAATCGGTCACCAAACGGATCAGGACATGTTCGAGTATACCAACTATACCAAACCAACCCGAATCGGTCACCAAGCAGATCAAGAAATGTTCGAGTATACCAACTATACCAAACCAACCCGAATCGGTCACCAAGCAGATCAAGAAAGGTTAGGGTATACCAACTATACCAAACCAACCCGAATCGGTCACCAAGCAGATCAAGAAAGGTTAGGGTATACCAACTATACCAAACCAACCCGAATCGGTCACCAAGCAGATCAAGAAAGGTTACGGTATACCAACTATACCAAACCAACCTTGCTCTTCGTGCGCAACATGCCTCTGGCAGTTGCTGCCCGGGATCCCTCCACGGAGATACCATTGCTAGGCGCTCGGCAATGCTCGTGCGCAGGAAGCTTCAAGTCCATCTTGGTATCCCTAGACGTCCCTAGGCCTACAAAAAGCAGTTGCAGCGACTTGGTCGTCTGCAAACAGCACTCTACATCAAAGGATGATCATTTAACAGTTCCGTACATTTCATACGGTTAAAAGAAAATTCAAGAGGCGGATCAACATGATGAACTTGTAATGCAACATCTTGAGATGAGATCACACCACGTTATGTATGTTTGCGTTCAACCCAGCGCTCACTCTCAATGATCAGTGGAGGTCCACAGTAGGTAAAGCAGCGAGTTCGTGCCCTTGGCCCAGGCTTCAATGGGATTTGTGTGGAGTTGTTTCCTCAACCCAAGCCAAGCAGAAAGTAGGCTACTTTGGGTTATAGCGGGAAAGGGGAAATGATAGTGGGTCATAGCGGGCGATACGCAGAAAGAAATTTATCAACAGTAAGGGCCTCTAATGTTGATGAATTCATCTGACATCAATAAGACTGTTCGTTGTCATGCGAAACTAGTCAGACCCTGCTCAACAACACTTCAAGCATTTTCAATCAAACCATTCAGCACAAGAAACAACAGCTTCCAATCGACATCTTCCACTCTGAGCATCTAGCCGTCCAACAGGGCCAAACGAAAAACGCGTCTCGGAAAGGGGAAATGATAGTGGGCGATGCGCGGCAAGAAATTTATCAACAGTAAGGGCCTCTAATGTTGATGAATTCGTCTGACATCAACAAGACTATTTGGTTTTCATGCGACACTAGTCATGCCCTGCTCAACAGCATGTCAAACTTTTTCAATCAAACCATTCAATCCATTCTGCAAAAAAATACTTCGCTTTGAGTGATCCCCACCATGGCGTTCAATTCATCCCATCTGACAATCAATAATTCATTCATTCATTCAAAAATCCACCAAGTCGCCTCGATGTAGGCAACTGATTCCAGCCCTGAACAAATGGTGATAAGTTGATAAGCCATGATGAACATCGATGAACTTTCTTCTTTACATTCTCCCCATCCCAAACATCAGAAAGTATCGCCACAGCAGTTCAGGCTATGACTATGAATGTTTAGGGTATCTAAAGTCGAATGATCTGGAAACCCACAAACCTCTTTGAATTGATCATTCAACGGCTGCATTCTCTCCCCTGCCCTTAAAAGAGCTACCTAGGTTTTGATCTATCAATCCCAATGAGCATGGAATAAAACAAATCCAACCATGAGACATGCTTCGAATCAACCTCTAAAACCCCTCGGTCATCATTTTGGATCCTGGATTGGGTCTGAGTCATAGTATCACTTTGTCGTGCCAAGACACAGCTGCTGTGCGTCTCCAAGGTGCCACAATTGCTGAGATTGGCCACAAAGGAGTCAATGCCTTACATCTGTAGCTGTAGAGCCGTGCGATCCTTTGATCCATAATGGACATGACCTCCTAACTCTTGCATCCAAGCCACCTATACAGCTGGCTGCCGAGATTCATCAGCACCGTATACAGCTTACAGGCATTGATCGTCACAACGTGTGGTTGTTGAAGCTTCCTGCACACCTCTGCTGTTTGCTGAGAGGAACAGCACTGCTCCAGAAACGCCACAGCCGTACCCAGAGTATTGTTGGGGGTGTCCTTCCACAACCTGCCATACTTCTTTGCGTTGGTGCTATTCCTCAGGTCCGGAAAGAAATTATCGAGCTCGCACGAGCGACCGCACACTTCTGTCTAAGACATGGTGGTTTCCATGTACCGACAGCTGCGGATCTACTAACCAGAGAAACCAGATATCTCAGGAACGATACATTTCTATGGGTGCATTAACCAAAAAAAAGTTTAAGAAAAACATGTCACTGCTGCCCAGTGGCCATGTGGTGGACGACGGCGCCGGTTCTGATACAGTCGGGCCCTGCCGGAGAAGCCCCAGTTCCGAAAGGGCCGCTTCAAGGTGTGGTCTCATGAGATGACGGGAAGGCCAGTCCAAACCATCAAGCCTCATGATCTCTCCATGAAGCGAAAACGAACCAAGGCACAGTAACTACGTCAACCACAATACCTGCGCGTCAATCTGGACAGCAACAAAAGGCGGCCAAGAGACAGTCTCACGTCCACTTGCCACTTCGATTTCTTTCCATACACCAAATCG